CGGTGAGGCGCGGCGGGGACCGCTCGTGGGACCGGGGGAGGGGGAAGGGAGAGGGAGGAAGGCGGCGGGGACCGCGCGACTGAAGAGCTGCAGAGACGCGCCCTTGACTCGGTAACCTGGGGTCTCGTGTCTAAAGCCGCCTCCACATACTCAAAACAGCCGCGGCGGTCCTCCACTGGCGGCCATGCTGAGGGGCCAGCCAATAGGGACGAACTTCGGAGCCCACGGCGCCAATCAGAGGCTAGGGGGCCGCCCTTCTCGGCCGCGTCCAATCGGAAGAAGGGAGGGGCGGGACCTCGGGGAGAGTTTTTGCCGCGAAGGGTACATGCCTGGGTTGATGGCTCGATTCCTAGTGTGGATATTTTAGGTTAAAAAATACATAGTGGAGCCCACCCCCTCGGTGGGAGCATGCGCGCGGCTTGGCGCCAATTGCGGACCGCCACAGCCTGTGCCAGCCCCGCGGGGCCCTGGGCGGCTTCAGGGTGATCAGCCAGAAGACACTGTACCCCTTCTCCTCCCCCGGCGCCGGCAAGGCGGAGGAGAGCGGGGATGCAGCGGTGAGCCCCGCCAAGAAGGCCCGGGCGGAGCAGGAGGAGCCCGGCACGCCGCCCTCGTCGCCGCTGAGCCCCGAGCAGTTGGTCCGCATCCAGAAGAACAAGGCCGCGGCCCTGCTGAGACTCGCGGCTCGCAACGTGCCGGTGGGCTTCGGGGAGAGCTGGAAGAAGCACCTGAGCGGAGAGTTCGGGAAACCGTATTTTATTAAGGTCAGCGAGGAGGCCATCGCAGGCCCAGGCCACGTTTACAGTCTATTGCTTTCGTCGTCTCCTGTTTTCCCTCCTTTAGTGTCCTTTTCACGTTAACCATGGTGTTTTGAACCTGCACATTTATATTCGTTGCTAAACGACTTAAGATGATATCGTGGCTTCTTTTAGTCCATCTAGTTCATCTGCTATCCAGGAAAGAGGGGCCAAATAAAAACCCGCACACCAGATGGCTTGGAACCTGGCTCCGCCTTTAAAAGGGGGGGGAGGGGTTGGCATGAACAGGAAATCAAGGCACCTAAGCCAATCAACTTAGACCCAGCCCAAAGCAAGGGAGGGAATGGAAGCTCTTGAGCAACTCCGGTGGGGAGGGAGCAGGTACTGTTTTTATTTGCTGGGTTTTTCTTTAAAATTATTTAGAAAATTTTTTAAATTTTTTTTTTTACTTACTGATTTTATTTTATTATTTTTTTATAGATTTTCTTTACAGAGAAGGAGAGGGATAGAGAGTTAGAAACATCGATGAGAGAAACATCGATCAGCTGCCTCCTGCACATCCCCCCCTAGTAGGGATGTGCCCACAACCAAGGGACATGCCCTTGACCGGAATCGAACCCGGGACCCTTCAGTCCGCAGGCCGACGCTCTATCCACTGAGCCAAACCGGTTAGGGCTTTACTTGAGAGAGAACCTGCAACCTTGGTGTATTGCTCTAACCAACTGAGCTGCTAGGCCAGGGCAGAAAAGAATTGGGACAGAAAACATAGCAAAGCGTTAGATAATGCTTCAGTTAACTTTCTTATTGAATTCATATGCTTTTCAGTGAGAATCTCATTTTAAATCTAGTTGTTTTATTTATTTTTTTCAATCAGCTAATGGGATTTGTTGCAGAAGAAAGAAGACGTTACACTGTTTACCCACCCCCACACCAAGTCTTCACATGGACCCAAATGTGCAACATAAGAGATGTAAGTACAGGTTGTGGGTGAATTCTTGCAAAAGAAGAGTGGGAATCAAAGAGTATTTCTTAATTAGGGACACTGGGGTTAAAACACCATCCATAATTCGGTAACGAAATAAAATACTAAAGTTGTGAGATTTGTCAGGCTATCTGCTCTCCTTTCTTGTGTTTTATTTAATCCTGAAACCAATCCCCGAACAGTGTGGTGATGATGAGGAAGCTGAGGCATGAAGGAGTTACTCTTTTTCACCTGGTTATAGTCAACCCCACCTTGTCTAGAAGCTCAGTATTCTTTCTGTCTGACCACACTATCCTTTAGTCTCTTAACTTCTGGCCCAAACAGGTCTGCTACCCTGTTACCAAAGCCCTTTGCGTTGGTTGGTTGTACAGCCGACTGCTGCCTCGGGGCTCTGGTCATGTCAGCCTCCTGTTCAGAAGCTTGTCTGGCTTCCCACTGCCTGAACGATGGAGGCTGCATGAATATGGCCATGTCCTACTTAACCAGCCTTACCTCCACCTCCCATTCTTCTACACCAGAATTGAACGTTGTGGCAGGCCTCTCCTCACTTCCGTCTCTTAAAACCAACTGTAGATCTATGGCACCTCACTAAATCCTGTTTTCCACCACCGTTGTGATCTGGTTTTCCTCGAAATCCCCCCAAATATGCTTAGTGTCTGCTTACGCGGGAGGTTTTTACACTTCGTTCTTACCCTTTTCCCTCCCCATTTGTGAGTTGAGAGCAGGAATCCCGTGACTTAGTCAATATCTGTCAAGTAGAAGTGAAATGGGTGAATAAGCCACCTTGATAAGGCTACTTCGCCTAATACTTAGCAAACGTCACAATTTTCAGTGTAGAGTAAGGACTTTGGATGTAGCTCCTTGTTTCTGAAGTTAGAAAAAAACAAAAGCTAAGTTATTTTCAATTCAGTGCTATTTTGCCCCTTGGTTGAATAGATGTCCTGTTTGAATACCAGCGATCGATATAAATAGGGAAGAATAAGAAAAGAGCCTGCAACTGGGGATCAGATGGCCCAGAGTGGCTTTGCAAATGAGCATGTGGAGGGCCTGGGCGGTTACCTGGTTCCTCCAAGGCTGTCCCTTATCCAGGACCAGGCTGTCCCTTATCCAGCTTCCGTGCTGGGATAGGTGGCTTCCATGCTGGGACAGTGTGAGCACCAGCAGCAGGAAGGGAGCGGCCCACGAAAGCTTCCTGAAGAGGGGACTGCTAAAGCTGGATTTTGAAGGATAAGGTATATGTCAGCTATGGAAGAAGATTCTAAGAAGGTGCACCTTGAGCAGAAGCACGAGAATGAAGAAGAGGTGGGCGGCCTCCTGATCAAAAGGACTGGCCGTGTCTTAACACAGCCCGAGACAGTGACCTAATTACTTTCCACTGCATCTTGCCGCCTACTCCCGTGGCTCCTGACCTGACCTCGTTACCTTCTGGTTTCCTTCCTTAGAAGGTCTAGGGGCACAGGCCCCTTCGTATGCTGCCGGTGGGGAATTCGAATTGCTTCAACTCGTTGGGAATGAAAATTTGAAATACACTTACTCTTTGACCCGCAACTCCACTATTATAAGTATTCCACAGGAATAAAAGCAACAGTGGGGAAACATACATACCAGGGTGCTTGCCGCGTGACTTTTTGTAATGGAAAACAAGCCGACTGCCCATCAGTGACTGGGCTCTACGTATTAATTTGAAGGCTAAAATGTGTGATGTGAGAAGCACCAAATGTAGGGTAATGAGTACAATAACCTCAATTCTGTAGGTAATTTTTAAAAAATCAGGATGAGATAGGATAACTGGGAGGTGACTGACCACTCTGAATGTTTCTGGATGGTTGTACTTGTTTTCAAGGTATATTTACTTTTGTCATTTGACAAATGAGAGGGACGAAAGCAAAGTTGACCCTAACTTGTTTCCCATACCTGTGTCCGAAGGGAGGGGGCGGTGTGGTAGGGTGGCCGAGTGAAGGAGAATTTGGTAATGGAAAGTAAGTAAGATACCAGGCCATCTGCTTGCTTCTGGGGGTTCTAGTTGGGTCATGGGTGGGGCAGGAGGGTTGCCCTTCTCGTTATCCTGTCCCTTTGTATAGGTCAGCGGTCAGCCCAGGGTTCCTTTACACTGCCTACACTAGAGTATTGTTTAATTTGCCACCTGGCATTCACAGGTGAAGGTTGTCATCCTGGGACAGGATCCATATCATGGACCCAATCAAGCTCATGGGCTCTGCTTTAGTGTGCAAAGACCTGTCCCGCCTCCGCCCAGGTACGATTGCTTCATAGATGGTTCAGGTCCCATTGCAATTACTGTCAGATGTGCACTTTTTAAGTCAGCAGTCGCCAACCGTTCGGACCTCAAAGACCACCGGTTGGCGACCGCTATTTCAAATGATCGGTACACCTATTTGGGGTACTTTCGCTAGCCTTCGGAACAGGATTTCTCAGTGTCAGCACTGGTGATGTTTGGGGGCTGGGGCTTTGTGGGGGAGAGGGTTGGTCCAGGGCACTGAAGATGTTTAGCAGCACCCGTGGCCTCTACCCACCAGGTGCCAGGAGCACTGCCCCATAGAACTAGAGAGTTCTAACAAAATGGCAATGAAAAATGTCTTTAGACATTGCCACATGTCCCTTGTGGGACAGAAATCATCCCTGGTTAAGAACTACTACTTTAGAGGATTTTTAAAAAAATATATTTTTATTGATTTCAGAGAGGAAGAGAGAGATAGAAATACCAATGATAAAAGAGAATCATTGATCGGCTGCCTCCTACACGCCCCCCACTGGGGATCATGCCCACAACCGGGGCATGTGCACTGACTGGGAATCGAACCGTGACCTCCTGGTTCATAGGTCGACGCTCAACTACAGAGCCACGCCCGCCGGGCTAGAGGGTTTTTATAAGTAAATACATAGAGATATAAAACTGTAACTAAGCATCAATTGGGAGGGAGGTTGTAACTCCTCGGCTAATGTACTTAAGTCTTCTAAAGTGCTGTTCCTTAAATCCAAACACAGGCCAAAAATATTTACCTGTCAGCAGGAATGGCTGGCTTTACACGCTGTAATTGACACGTCTGTTGGAGGTTGCTGAACTTTCTGAATTGTACTTAAGATTGTCTTTTTTCTTCCGGCTTGCTTTCAGTTTGGAAAACATTTATAAAGAGCTGTCTACAGACATAGATGGTTTTGTTCATCCTGGCCATGGAGATTTATCTGGGTGGGCCAAGCAAGGTAAACCAACTGTTGATACACATGGCTAAAATGACTAAACTTATATACATCAGAAAATGAATCTCGGTTTTACCCTGCAGCCAATGTTTCCTTTCATGTTTTTTTTTTTCTTCTTTCATGTTTTAATCAATTTTAAAACTGTGTTCCCCTTTATTATTATTTTGTCCTCTCTTTTGTCATTTCAACATAGGTGGTGTTGTATGTATTTATACCTATGGGTATTTTGTCCTCTCTTTTGTCATTTCAACATAGGTGGTGTTGTATGTATTTAATACCTATGGGTTTTTATTTTTATTTTTTACTAAATTTTTCCTTTTCTCAGATTTTTTTATTGATTTTCAGAGAGAGGAAGGGAGAGGGAGAAACATTGATGTGAGAGTGCAGCAACAGTCAGCTGCCTCCTGCATGCCTCCTACCGTGGATCAAGCCTGCAACCTAGGCATAGGCCCGAACTGGCAACCTTTCAGTGCACGGGACAATGCCCAACCAACTGAGCCACACCAACCAGGGCTTTTCTTTCTTTTTTAACAAATAAATTATAACCAGGATAAGGAAAGAGTATTTGCCCTTTGGTTTCTTGCCGTTAGATTCTCCCCTCCACCCCAGTAAAACACTTTGGCCTCCTTTTGTTATTTTCTGGGGTTATTTAATATCATTTACGATATTGTTTAAAAACAGTTCTTTCTGATGACCGATGGTATAGGGTGTCCCAAAATTCACGCAAGAAGTAATTTTGATAGAAAACACAGGTTTATAATTAAAAATTGTAAATTTTTTATTGATTCATAAAGTATACAGTATAGGGTTATGTATGGAATAGCACAT